AACATCATGTTGCCATCATAAAACAAAATGATAGTATAAAATAAATGGACTATTTACTCATACTGATTGCGCTCATTGGATTCAGTGTGCAGTTATGACCTCCTTTGCTAAGAAAGACCTGAAAAATATTTGGAAATATTTTAAAATACGCAAGAAGGTGAAAGTTTGAAAATAATAAAAAGCATGACAATGTATCACAGCATAATTCAATAAGATAGTATTCTGACAAACATTACATAAAAGGACAGTATGGTGTCATAGGATTAACCTTGAGCTTAGTATATTCTCTCCATGCCTTTGTTTAATGTAATATGAAACTGATTACCCTTTCTAAATCAACTCACATTGTTAGCCTATACTATTGTTAGGGATAATGACTACAGCACATTTTACTTATTGCTTGGAAAATACATTTACTTTTCCTAAAGCAAAGTCTTCTAAACTCTGTTCCAGGGGTTCTAGGAGAACATGAAAATTCTAATTTTTAACCAAGTTTATACTTTATAATTTTCTCTAGAAATCCTATGGACACATTTATGGCCCATACAACTGGGGTTTTACGTTTGTAACTATCGTTTTAAGTAGTAATTTCAATCTTCCTCCTTATTCTGTTTCTTCCTTTTTACCCATCTTTAGTTCATTATCCTATATAATAAAAGTTTAATATGCAAATCTACCGAACAGCTGAATAAACAGTTGGTGGGGGGCAGGGCCAGCAAGCAGGTGGTGCCAGGCCAGCCAAGGCATGTGCCAGTGGGCAGAGGGAGGGAATGGCAAAGGGGAAGAGGCAGTGACAAGCCATGGAGGAGGGGTGATGCGGAGGGCCAGCACCGTATCCTGTCAGGTTGCCTCCCACAGAGGGAGGCCGGGCAGCAATGGTGGGGTGGTAGGGGCGGTGCCATCCCCTGATTGGCCGGCCCCCAGCTGCCTCCCAGAGAGGGAGGCCAGACTGCAGCTTACAAAGTCATCAGTAGAACATCCCCTGAGGACTCCTGGACTGTGAGAGGGCGCAGGCTGGGCTGAGGGACCCTCCCTCCAGTGCACGAATTTTTGTGCACTGGGCCTCTAGTCTTAATATATTTAATACTGTTGAAAGCTGACTGAAATTCTTCCTGAAACAACACACGTGTATAAATAAATAGACACCTAGATAAATTACTAAGATCCTCCATAATATTAAATTCTTCATTCACTTCTCCTCTAAGACTCCCCCTTTCAAAAAAGAAAAGTCAATGTATTTTTAGTTTGTCTTCATCTGACCCATTTATTTTCCTGAATAGTTCATTTTAGTTGCTAAGGTGAAAAATGGAGTTTTGAATAACAATTTGGGGTAAAAGACACACTGAAACAGCTGATATATGTGAGAGAGATGGATGACAAGGCAGAGAATTTTAAGGTTATATGATGGTGGTCTAGGAATTCCCATCACAATGTCTGACAAATATTAATCAAGAACTTGAGTTATTTTGAAATTACTATTATTGCTGCCCTGGGTTCCTTGGACTATATCACTGCTCTGAACATGTTGAATCATAAATCACATGGGCCATGTCTTTCTAAGCAGATTATATAGACCTGTTAGACAATAATTGTCAGAAAATATTGCACTCAGTGTAGTGGGGGCTCATACTGTACCTTACATGGAGAATTTAGAACAGTAAAGGAGAGACAAAGGCATTCTGGAAGATAAAACTACATAAATAAAAGGCCTGGATCTGATAATAACCAATAAATAAAGGTTGAAGGTATGAAAGAACTGTGTTGAAGACAAGCAAGGAGACTGACAGCTGGAGCACAGGAATCTCTTGTGTGCTCCAGGAAACAAGCCGTGAATGGACGGTGTGGGTGAAACAGAAGCTACCTCAGGTTCTTGAGCAGGTGACTGGTAGAATGAGAGCAGTATCTTAAAAATGCCAAACAATAATAAAATGGACTAAGGTTGTTGTAATGGGTTGGAGAGAAAGGACGGTTCTAAGAAAACTCAGAAGGAGGAGTCAGCTGAAGAGGGTGACACCCTAGGAACAGGCAAAGAAGCCACTCCACGTGGAAACCATATTAAAGGTTCTGCCCCAAAGCACTAAAGAATAGACACTCCTAGAAGAAAAGACACCATGTGTGGAAGGATCAGTTGAGGACATCATGTTGGGTTTCTAGTAATACAGTGGATCATTCAAGAAATATGGGCCGCTGGACATGCAATGTTCCGGTAAAGGCAAGTGCTCAGAGCTAGAACGCAGACCTAGAAATCATCTGTACAGAGATTATATGGTAAATCATGTGAACAAAAGAGCAATAAAAATTGGGTTTCTTCTTAATTTTAAAAATGATTTTATCTTAATAAAATGAAATTGTTTTGTTATAAGAAATTTGGAAAATATAGAAAACCGCACAGATAAAAATTAAAATTGTTTGCAATCCTACCATACAAAGATAAAAACTAGGAACTCTCTAGTATATATCCTCTCAGTGCTTGTTTTTATACATACATTTTTAATGCGAAGGCTCACTACTTCTCAATAGTATCCCACCTTCTAATAACTGTTCATCCTCAGGGATATAGGGGTTCTCTTATCCTGCAAGTTTGGGGAATCAGCATACTAGATCTCCCCCTCCCCCCCCGCGTGCCTTGGAAATAAACACTACATGCAGAGACCCCACAAAGTTGAACCATAAAAAAAGACTGTACATAATGGAAAACTAACAATCTTAGATTTCCCATGCACACCTGTTAACATCCCCTTGAACTGCTCTCCCTTTGAAAGGTGGATGTGTAGTTGTCAGGAACTTGACCTTTAAAGGGGACAAACCTAGGTTCAGAGTCTGCTCCCAGCTTTGTTTTCTTCTTACTTCAATCTCCACAAAAGAAGCACATAAGTGCAATACCTCACAGACCCATGTGAGTTTTGAGAGAGATAACATACATGAAGCACTTTGCAAGTCTAGTATTCAGTTCACTCTAAAAACTGGGACAGCTTCGATGATGTCATAATTACTAACCTGCAGTTTGCCCTTAACTATAAATCACAATGATTTGTCATGTAATATTTTTTAAATCAATCTTTTTAATGACTCCACATTAGACAATTATATGGCCATCTCGTAATTGATTTATCTAATTCCATAGTGTGGGATATTTATTTCCGTTTTTTTTCATTCACAAATAATGCTTCCTTGAACATCCTTACATATAGTTTTGTCAACAGTTCTGGTTAATTCTTTTTTTAAATATATTTTATTGATTTTTTACAGAGAGGAAGGAAGAGGGATAGAGAGGTAGAAACATCGATGAGAGAGAAACATGGATCAGCTGCCTCCTGCACACCTCCTACTGGGGATCCTTCTGGGGATTGATAACCTGATCGCTGTTTCTCAGTCTTTGGGTCTGTCCCTTTTCCTCAGTCTAAGTTGTTCTCTATAAGGGCTGGTTAATTCTTTATGATTGGATTGATTCGTGGAAATGGACTTGCTAAATAAAGGGGCATAAATGTTTTTAAGGTTTTTAATACAGCTTACTAAAATGCCCTCCAGAAGCTAGTATCAAATTAAATTTCTACTATGGTCTGACTAGCCACCCCATGTTTTAATCTTTCTGTTAGGATAATACTGGAGATTGGTTGCTACACAGAGCAGAAAGAAATGTCTTACTACATTTATGCTGGCTTTAGGTATGAAAAAGAGGAAGAACTTAATTATAACAAATAGCTATTTGAAAGGTAGAAAACCCATTTCGATGCTGACTTCCCAGGCCTCTAGCTGGACTGAACAGAGCAAGCCTTGAGGTGGAAGTCTTATAGATTAAGATAAAAGCAGATAATACCAATGGATTAAAACAAATGTGAAAATAATGTGGAGACAAACATGTTTAGAAGTTTGGGAACTCATCAAAATGACCAGGTTGTTTGCTTAACTGATACTACAAAACATCCAGTTGTTTAATCTGTTACTTTTCCAATAATGAATATTAAAATATTGTCTACTGAATTCTCAATGACATAAGTGTGTATTTACAGGCAAGTGGACAGAGTATTGAGGGCATGCCACTTCTAGGGATCAACCCTAAGGAATTAAGATGTTGAAAAAGCTTTACATTTAAGTGAAGTAACAATACATTGGGGTCTTTGAAGGTAAGGTCTGTGTCTCATTGCTCTTGGAGTCCCCATTAACTATATGAGGATATGCATGTAACAGGTAAATCATACATGTTTGCTATGTCTATAATAACTTTGTGTATAAGATTCTCACAACCTTCTATTTATGGGTGGGATTCTTGTTCCTCAAGAGAAAGATACAGTCAGACAATTTAGATGATGAAATCACTGAGAGTGTATTTCCTAGGAGAATCAAGATTGTATGGGGATTAATAATATGTCCTTTAGCTACACATAATATAGTCACTCACAGATACCTAGGAAAGATGCTTTCTAATGATATATTTAGCAAAGAATCAAACTAATTTTCTACATGATGCCACAAAATGTCATCAGATTACTCTGGAAGTACATTTCATGTTTTAAATGACTTTTCTTATATTTACTAGTAAATACTGCTAATAAAATAATAAAAGTGAATTACCCTATCAATAATTTTAAAAGTTACTCCTCTCTCTACTTTTACTAAGGCTCTGAGTTAGTTACATGAATTAATCAGTTTTGCTGTCTTTTTTGATAATTAATTGGAGAGCTGTCAAATCCCCAGTTATGGGTCAAGAAGGATGAATTTTTAAATGAGTAGGAGATTAGCTAAAATAGAACTAAACTCCAAAAAAATAACATTTTCCTGCTATATCAGTAAAGCTATAAGTTGGTAGAATAATTAGGAGGCCTGTGCCTTGGATATTTGATCTAAAAACAAAAAACAAAAACAATACTCTTTACTTACCTGTGGTATTATAAAAATTTGTAAGTTCTTTTTGTAAGACACACTTACCTCTGTGGATAAAAGTTCCCACTAAAGTTTAAAAATATATATTTATAACTAGGATAGCATTTAGAGGTTCTCACCTGAGTGAAGAAGGATGGAAATGCGATATGCAAGAAAGCCAATGTAATGGTTGCTTAAAAAGTGGTTTTAAGGAATCTGAAGCAGAATCACCTATGTCATGCTGAAAGGCCCTGGGGAAATAAAAAAAATTATTTCAGGGTATACAGGAAGCATTAACTATGAATACCATTGACAGTTTTTATTTTTACTTAGTATTCAGTGTAATGATTTTTTGTAGTGTGATAGAGTGGACAATGCATCCATATCATTCACTTGGGATTTAAGCCAGTAGGTGAGTCAGAGGCCTCTATATAACAATCCGTACACTTGGGAAGGTTATGACAATACCATTACCATTTAATTTTTTTAAAACTCACATTATAAAATTTGTCAAAAATAAATATTTAAAGAATAATAGTACAATGAATACCTCTTATCTCTCCCTCCTCAACTTGGATCCAATAAATGGCAATATTTTGTCACATTTGCTTCATTAATGTAAAAATGTTTAGCATAACGGTTCCTCTTTTTACTCTTTAAAGAGATTTACAAAAACTAAACAATTAATGAAAATTTATAATTAATTTTGTATTTTCTTAAAGGCCTACAGAGAGCTTGTAAATAAGAATTTAACTGTAAAATATTTGATTTTTATTTCAAAATGTGAACAATTTGGCCAGACTACCTGGTCTCCAAATATCTTTGGAGAATTGACTTTAACATTTTTCTAGATTGGCCCAAATTCAACAATAAATCTTGAGGTAATACGAAAGGATTTGCTACATAAAATCTTTAGTAGATAGTCTGGTTAATAAAAAATTTATAGTAACAGGAGGCTGTATTTGCCCACATGGAGTTAAGAGCGACAATGGGACCGCTTTAGAAATGGAATTGTTTGAAGTGGTACTATTTCTCTTTCTATAAAGTAGAGGAGCAATAGCATCTTTTAGATAATATGTAGAATAGAATTTCATTTTGAATGCCAGTCCCTGCTTTTCGTTTCACATCCTGCTTTTTGTGCCTTTGCATTTTCTAAATTTGACTCTCTCCTATTTATCTTGTCAAGTAAAACACCTTCTAATTAAATATACTTAGACTTTTTTATACTTTTAATATATCATCTCTTCTTTGAAAGCCATTTTCTCACTAATTTTCTAAATAGAACAAAACTCCTTAAATAGGTTTCAAAATCAGGTGGTCATCTATCAACTCCATGCATTCCATTGTGTGAACTAGAGAGATAAGCAGAAGCTAGTCAGGATACCAGGATATGCTTTTCTAGGGAGTCTGGATTTTGCATCAGCAATGAGCATTCACTGAAGTGTTTATAACATCAGAGTGACACCACCTATTTTACATTTTAGAAAAGTCACTTGAGTACAAGTGAGGAAAATAGACTAGTGACGATCAAGGTTGGAGGAAGGGAGATAATGAAGATGATACTGTGGTAGATAGGTAGAAGATGGCAAGGTCCTAAAGTTAGAAACAGAAGAGAGAGTGAATAGGTGACAAATGTCAATATAAATTAAATTAATATGGTTAACAATATTCATCCCCTAATGACATGTGGTTGGAGATGGCATGAGGGAAAAGCAGAAGTGAGAAGAATTGAGGGAAAAGAAGATCTGTAAGATGACTTGCAGATATTTAATTAAGTTTTAAATATGTTGAAGGAGCTGCAGACAGTTGAAGTACATTAAAAAAGAGACCTACAACAGGAATTTGGATTTATTAATCTAACCTATACAAGAGACATGTGGGTTGAAGATACTGATGTGGACATCATTAGCATGACAGTGAAGCCATGGGAATGGGTGAAGTCAAAGAGTGTAAAATGAAAAGATGGTCAAGGAAAGAACTCCAGAACACAATGATACTTAAAGGGTGAGGTGAGAAAAAGCAGCACTCAAATGCAACCAAGAGGGAATAATCAGAGAAGTGGGCAAAGAACCAGGTGACAGTGACAATAGGGAAGCCAAAAAAAGACAAATGGTTAATAGTGTCAAAAGGTGCAGAGAGAATAAGGAAATGGAGAAACAAAAATTGGAGTTAGTGATTGGGTATGCATGGATAACCTGACCCATGCTGTTCGTTTAGCAACATGAGAGCAATTGCAGTGATGCAATTCTGTTAAAAGTCTAAATGATGAATGTATTGAGTGAATGGTAGGTGTCAAAGTGGAGACAATGAGCACAAACTATATTTTTAGGAGGGAAAAACAGTAGCCAAGAAGGGATCCATTTAATGCAGGAGAGGTTGGGGAAGAACCAGAGTAGAAAGAATATTCTAACATTGTGGAATAGGATATAAATGTGGTTAGGTGAAAATATTTGCTTTGCTTGGGAAAAGAGATACATTGATCACCTATCAAAGGATATCGCAGTGAGTAGGGGTCAAGATAATTATTATGAATGGAGAGGAGAAGTTCAAGTGCATTCATGATGGTCTGGGTTTTCTCAGAAAAGCACAGGGGCAAGGCCATCTGCTAACAAATAGTAGGATGGGAGCTAGTAGGGGGTTTGACCAAAGTAGGTGATGGAACAGGTAGCTCTTTAGAGATTGGACAAAATGGGATTTTATATTGTCAAAAGATATAAAAGGACAGCTGAGTGCTTTTCTGCCAGCAGTGTTCCAGAGTCTTGGGTAGAGAGGCCAAGAAGGAGAGGTGCAGAGCAGGAACATGCAATAGCCAGGGGGCTAGAAAAAAGGAGGGACCTCGTATAAAATGAGAGGAGATGCAGCAAGGGGTGTGGAAAGAAAGGGCATCTCAAAGGCAGCGACAGACTGGGGGGAAGCATGGGACAAAAGAGAAGGGGCTTGGTGTGAGAGAGCAGGAGGAACTGGAGACGGTAGGATCATAGCCTCTGCCTACTTTGCCTACCTCTTTGAGCTCTTTGCACAAATTTCCATGTGTCCAGTTATTTGGAGCCACCCTATTTCTCTAAGAATAAATACCTTTCCTAGAATGTGCTCTTTGTCATGTTCAGCTAGCCACTGAAGATCATTTAAAGGCATGCAGGAGCTCTGGAGCCAGACAGCCTGGGTTTGCACCATGAGTGTGCTTTTTATTAGATGTGTAATGTTGTTTTTCAATTTATTTCACTTCAGTTTTCTCATTTGTAAAATGGGGATAATAATAACAGTCACCTCAATGTGGTGATTCAGATAATGCATATAATGGACTTAGCCAAGTGCGTTGTATATAATAAGGACTCAATGTATATAAGGTGTTATTGGTATAATGACAGTTGTAAATACTCCTTATGGTCTATGACCATCTCAAAACTGATGTGAAATTGCTAAAAGTCTAAATGGTTGCCTAGTTACAGTTTTATCCTCAAGTTTAGAAAAATAATGGAGGATCTAATAATAAGGGAATGGTTATCGGTGCCAAATTTTCTTAGACTACAAACCACTGGCAATCTAATACTTCCCAGAACATTTCTGCCAGTACCTAACCTCTTTTATTCACTGATGGTTTCTCAGTTGTACTGGTAATAGTAAGATCATTTGGCTATAAGAAATGTAATGGCAGATGTTTATAGTCTCAGAGGGGGTGGGATCTGTATGAGCATTTAATTCCACAGCAAGATCCCAAATTAGTTTCATTATTCTGGAGAGTATAACAGGGTGGAAATTGGCCCACAAGCCTCAATGGGAGAATGAAATGATGAGCTAGCTATTAGATAACCTCTAATGATATTCGCGTATGCAGTTAAAAGAGAGGATACTCTAAATAATTCATAGTGAAGAGTAAAATACAATTGTCTGAGCTATGGAATTATATTTTTCACCAGACATAAAAGAATGTTGACATAGCAAACTTAAATACTCCTTTAAAAATAAGTAATTGTCTCCTGGTTGAAGCAGACTACATGTACTCACATTCCCAAATTAGCATATTGTAAAGATGGCTTTGTTAAGGTAGTAGAATGAATATGGAACATTCTTTGCCTTTGCCCTTTTCCCAACATCAACTAACCCAGGCCCCTTCTCTCCCATTAATATCATATTGCCTCTGGCCTCATCACACCTTATCACTGGAGCACTCTACCCCAGATGCAGCCTCCTGGTCCTCAGATCTACAATTATGCTATCTTCCTTCCTTTTTTGCATTAATAAATTGATTTATTCCTTGGGCTTATGCAGCCAGCTGCTAGAATGAAATAAATCCAATGTACATAAAAAGTGAGAACAAGTGATAAACTAAAGAGCTGGCTGGGTTTTACGCTTCTCTTATGCCAACCTGCTTTTGGCTGCCCTTCCAGTAGAATTGTGTCTCAATATATAATGTTAATGAAATAAACCTCCAACATGGAAACAAGGCAGCCCAAGGGTCAGGTCTGATGTCTTGTATCATCTGTGCCTACCACAGTGCCTGAGCCATTAGAGGTGCTCAGTAAATAAAAATATCAAGAAGTAGAACTGGTTTGAAACTAAACTATTGAGAAAGCCCTGGAATACCTGAGATAACTGAGGCCATGGAGCCTTTCTGATTGCCTTAAAATCACAAGCAACTAATCACGAATACGTAGAGACAGCCAAATTCAATCTACTTTACCATTTTAGACATAATATTAAGTCACTGCTTTGCTTTCATAAACCAGCGTTACCCTTGGGATTGTAAGTAGTTGCCTAAATTTCATTAAGTGAGAGAAATAAAGATACACTTGAAGTAAAACACGGTCCCCCATATTTCTTTTGCCCCCTTGGCTTGTGTTTCTCATGATGAAAATAACTCTTCGAGGTTAGAAAATGATGAATTAAAGTTAAAAAATGGCTAGCACAATGCTTGGCCTATAGTCTACCATAGTAAAGGTCAACCATAGTAATTACTGGTTAAATAAAAAAAGAAATATGAATAAAAGGTATTGTCAGACCCTGCTTTGCAGAAAGGAGGATGAATTTGGGGGCCATCTGTGAAGAGCAGTCTTGGGTGGTACACAGCCAAGGGGCAGGTTGAGAAGAGAACATATGGTAGAGAGATAGAATAAGACTTGACCCCTGAGAACAGAGCAGAAACCAGCTAGTCAAAGATTCAGAACAAAGGCCTTCTCAAAAGTTAATTACTAGCCTTTTACCAGTGTTTTTACCCTATTAGGACCATACATAAAGCTGTTTGATTTCAGTG